ACTCTGGTGAATTTGAGTTAAAGCCAAAACTCAGTATTTCAGTGCAGAAGAACTGAAATGAAGATGGAAGAACTATGTTGTCTCCTAGGAGGCATGGCACCCCCTCCGACCATAGTCCCCAGCAAGCAGAGCTCCAGATTCTCAGTTAAAGGTCAGTGGAGGGTGAAGGATGGATTTCCTCCCCTCAGGCCCCTGCAAGGCTGAGGTGAGGTTCTGTGGTCACAGAATCTGCTTACACTAAGCTTGCCATGGGTACCAGATTCCTTGAGAGGCCAGGAATTTACACATCTCATGTGTGGTTAAGACAGAAAAGCACTTGGGTATCCTCCTCGGAGTAGAAAAATAACTCTTAGCTTCCTCCCCCACTGCCCTCCCCATCATCCTGGGCTTGTCCATACCTGAGATCCCCACCTCTGCCACCAAGAGATCATCACTGGAGGCCGAGTTTTCAGCCAGACGCTTGAACTCATCCTGCTTCTCACCGTAGGGGTACTGGGTGTCGAACTTCACCAAGACGAACTTGCTTTTGGGAATGACCTGAGGGTGTACAGAGCTGAGCAAGCAGGGGATTCCAGGGACCTTTAGGGTTACTTCCCTTTCCCAAGGGACCCCTGTTTAGGAAATAGGGTGGGAACCAAGCCCACAGAGAAACAGGCTCTCACATCCTAATATTCACTCATTCACTAACCCATTGATTCATTTAACGTTTTAGTGGTATGTGCTGGGTACCCCGTTGTTTCACACTAATTCAGAGACATGTACAACCTGGCCTAGAATAAACAAAGCTGTAGATGTACTAAGGCCTTCTCCTCCAGCGGCCCTTTTGGTAGGGCTAAGGAGACTCTTAGCACACATTACATTGGCCCCTGCCAAGCCCATCATACCAGGGGGCTTTTCTCAGTAAACACTGACCCAGAAATCTGACAAAAACCAACCACCTTGGTGATGGGGGGAGTAATGTTCCTCATGTAATTGTAGATTAATGATACAAAAACAAAAACAAAAAAACCACCAACCATCTACAAAGGAGTTGGCACTAAGGAGGATGCTTTGAGTAGGGAGCCCATAGTTTGTACTCCACAATTTCAGGACTCATAGGAAATTGCTGAGAGGCTAGACTTGGGACAATGTTCCCTCTCTAGATCATAGTCCCCTTTGGCTAAATCTCTAGATCCTAAACTGTCAGGGCCAAGACTTTTGTTTTCATTGTGGTAAAATTCATATCACATAAAATTGACCATTTTAGGCATTTTAAAATGGACAATTCAGTGGGATTTAGTACATTAACAATGTTGAACAACTGTCACAATATCTAGTTCAAGGACATTTTCATCACTAGAAAAGGAACCAAGTACCCACTAAGCAATCACTCCTCATCCGTTTTTCCCCCCAGCTCCTGACAACCACAAATCTGCTTTCTGTTTCTATGATTTGTCTACTTGGATGGAATCGTATAAGGTGGCCTTTAGTGACCAGCTTCTTTAACTTAGCATCATGTTTTCAAGGTTCACCCCTGTGGTAGCATGCATTGCTATTTTGTTCCTTTTTGTAGCCAAATAAATATTCCATTGTATTGATACACCCCATTTGGTGTGTCCATTTTCTGCTGATAGACAACTGGGCTGTTTCCACCTTTTGGGTATTTGTGAATAGTGCCACTATGAACATTCACATACAAGTTTTTGTTTGAACACCTGTCTTAATTTCTTTTGGGTATATACCTAGGAGTAGAACTGTGGGGTCAGATGATCATTCTATATTTAACTTACTCTTATGTTTAAAGGGCTTCCCTTTGATGGTTTCTTCCAATGCACAGATTTGATCTAACAAACTGCCTTTGGTCAGTAATGCTGCCTTCCTTTCCTCCAACTTTCTTTTTCCTAATCAAAGTGATCACTTTCAGTTTTCATCACAGGCAATTGCTATCACAATTAAGTCAAGCTGACATCATTCCAGTTTTTGTTAGTCCTTGTTCCTTATTGTGTGTTGATGTCCACTTGGTTTTCGGTTTAAAATATTTCACTCTGGAGGCACAAGGAAGACGGAAAAGCCATCAGAGTGGGTAATCTTTCAGTGGTCACTGACCTCAAAAAGTCTGAGCTCTTGAGGGCCTAAAAGCAGGGAAGACTTAAAATATAAATCAGATCACATTCCTCTGGCCCAATTGTCCTTATTTCAGTTTAACATACCAAACCGATTCCCATTTAGGGCCTTTTCATTCACTGTCTCTGCTGGCTGGAATGCCCTTTCCCCAGTTCTTCCCATGGTTGTCTTTTTATTATTCAAAACTCAGTTCCAATGCTCCACCCTAATGGAGAGGCCTCCTATACTCACACCATCTACAACTGCTTCATTTCCATCATACTCTATCATGATACGCTGTTCTGCTTTCTTCACTGCACTGATACCTCTGAAATCTTTATTTGCTTGTTTGTTGTCTGTTCTCTCCACGAGAATGTGTATTTAGGAGAATAAGGACCTTGTCTGACCTGTTTTCTGCTCTATCCTTGGTGCCCAACACACCTGGGATGTAGCAAATGTTCTGAAAATATCTGATAAATGAACAAAACTAGGGCAGGCTTTGGTAGAACATGCTAAATTGTCCAGGGGGAAATTTTCTTTTAAAGCACAGCATAGGACCCCTACCTTCAAGGGGCCTACATTCGTATTATGGAATATTAATAACCATATGGTGGTCTAACATTGAAATACAATTGAGAGGCCTCCACCTTTCACTTTTACCATTCTTAGCCATCAGCAGAATGGCTTTGAGGGAAAAACATTTGCACACTGAATTTTTTCTTGCTTTTTTACTCTGGACCTCTTAATAGCTTTAGAAATCTCTCTCCTTTCCTCATCCTTGAGTAATCAGCTCCACCATAAGCTGTATTTAGGCTATTTGTTTCTTCAACACACACATGAATTATTTATTCATTCATTCATTGAATAAGAGGTACTAAGAGCCCATATGTGCAAAGCACTGTTTTAAGTGAACACAGCAATAAAGTGACAAGGTCTCTTATTTCTATTGATGGTGAAGAGCAAGAAACAACAAAAAAGATACTGGAAACCACTGAAAGGTAAAGCATAGAACAAGATGTCAGGGCATGAGAACACTAGGAAGCTCCCCTTTTGTTCAATGGTGATCGATGATCAAAGAGAGGGAGATTTAGAAAGGGACTGGAGAAAACATTTGTTCGTTCACTCAACAAATTATTATTGAGCATCTTCGATGTGACAGGTAACCTGCTTGGCTGTGCAGATGACTAGTGAACAAAACACACAAGGTAGTTCTTAACAAGCATGTAAGATTCTAGTGTGGGAGATGATAAAATAGACAAAAGGAAAAAAAATCAGTGCTGAATGCACTACAGAGAAATCAAACCAGGTAATGGTACTGGCACTTTAGACTGGGGGAATCAAGGAGGTTAAATGAGGTAATATTTAACCTAAGTGTAATACTTAACCTATCCCTGAATGGTCAGACGCGACTAGCCTTTCAAAGATTGGTCAAAGAATGTTCTAGCCCCAAAGAACTGCCAGTGCAAAGGGCCCAAGGCAGTAATGACCTAAGAATATTCAAAGAAGAGAAGGCAGGTGTGGCTGGAGCAGAGGGAACAAATAGGAGAATGGTCAGGAGATGAGAGGAAAGGCAACTGAGTCAGATCCTGCAGGACTTAAGCTACTGTGTGGAGAATGAACGAAGAGGCTCCTAAGTGAGAAAGCAGGGAGAACAGTGAGGAGGCTACTGTAACGACAGCAGCAGATGGAGGGGCACCATCTGATGAGGAAATACTGTTAACCTTACCGTGCAGTTTCCCGCTAAATCACATTGGGTTTGTGATAGACCGCGACTAGGTTGGGGGGCAGGGGTGTTGCTTTGCCAATAAAAGCCCCCAAAAGCATAGGGTGCTGTGGGGTGTGTCTGAAGCCATACCTACATTTTTACGTTCTTGAACCTTTGCCTTGAATGAGCCACAGGTGTCAAATCCAGGACACGAAACTCTTTTGCAAAGAGAAGAGTTCAACCACTTGAGACAGATTTAGAGCTCCACTTCTTGGTTTCACTTCCCCGTAATGAGTACAAATTAAGAAAATAAAATGACTGGTTCTCTCTCAACACTTAGCTTGCCCATCTCTTAGGCAAAGTCAAAGCCACCACTGTGTGTAGACCGGTGCAAGAGGGGGTTAGGACTGCATTCAGCCTTCAACATTTCCAACGTCCATTTGCCCAAATTCTGTAAATATGGAGGGGGGTGGATAGTGACGAATCCTTCCAGGCCTTGACCGATTTATTCATTTTGTCCTGAGGTCCAAGATATTCCCTACAAGGTGTCTGTACTGAAGCTTATTCTTAACGCTCGTACTTTTTCAAGGAAACGCAGAATATCTGAACATTGTTTGCATATTGCAAAGAAGACTGTAATCCACTCCAACTGAAGAGGGGAGCAGAAACGAATGCCCACATGCCGGGTTTCCACCCCCCAAACCCGACCTTCCCCAGCTCTACCACCGCCGGGAACCAGGCGGCGTCCGCCTCGCACCACCCTCCGGGTCTCCCACTTGGAATTCGAGGATTGGATCTCGTCCGGCACCGCCCTCCCGCCATGGGCGAGGGGAGGGGCACGTGGTTTCCTCGGCTCTGTCTCTGCAGCTCTTGGGAAAGAAGCAAGTACAAACACTGCAAAGGCAGGGGTGCGTGGGGACCCTGGGTCATGTACGCCCCCTGGTTGTGATACGGCCCCGGCCCAAGAGTCCACCAGCTTTATAGGGCGGCGGGGAGCCCGGGGCCGTCGCTACAGCCCACCCGCTGCCAGCGCTGTCCCCTGCTCCTCCACGGTGTGCGCTCCCCTGGGCGCTCTTGCTCCCCCTGGGCGCTCTTGCTCCCCCTGCGCGATATGCCCCGCCCCCGTTACCTTGTAGAAAGTGACTGTATCCAGGGGAAGGGCGCCCTTGGTGTGCAGGCCGCTGCCGCCATGCGGAGCGGAGAGGAGCAGGAGGAACAGAAGGGGGAAGAGAAGGGAGAGAGAAGCGGCGCGGGGTACGGCAGCAGCCATAACGCCGGATTCTAGAAGCACACACTGGAAGGGGTGTAGCGGAGAGAGCGCGGAGTCCGGAGTCACGTGACAGGTATCCGCCCACCCTCGGGTGCGCGCACATGTACAGGCCCGGGAGGCAGCTGGCAACGCGAGAGGAAAGAGGCCACGTGAGGGGCGGGGAACTGGGGCTGCCGTGCGCGTGCGCCGCCTCACGCCGAGAGGGTGGGACTGCGTCGGGTGAGGCTTGGATAAAAAAAACAGAAAGGGGAAAAAAAAAAGAGTCCGAGAGCGAGAGAGAGAGAGAGAGAGAGAGAGAGAGAGAGAGCGAGAGAGAGCGCGCGCGAGAGCGAGCGAGAGGAGAGAGCGAGCGAGAGGAGAGAGCGAGCGACTGCCGCGCGCGCGCACTAGGCGAGCTCTCCGCCGGCCCGCCCCCTTCCCGTCCTCCGTGTGAGGAGAGGCCCGGAGAGCGTGCCAGGCGTCTCGGCAGCTACTCGTTGGCTGCCTTTCCACTTCGACGATGACGAAGCCGGACACCATGTCTTCCTGCCTTCGGTCCGTCAGGCAGTGGGTTGGGACCCGCTACAGTTCTCGGTTAGTCCCAGTCAGTCTGACTGTGGTACTCCTCTCCCTTAGTCGGCCCAGAGTTGCCCGCGGTCAGCCGACTCCGCTGCCGCTTTTAGGACACGAGTTCGTAAGCCGGGGGGGCTGTGGCCTGCGTGGCCGTCAGGCCTACTCTGTGCCGAGGGCCTCACTTGCCAGGCTTGTGTAAAAACAGACTCTACCGAGAGCTGAGTGCTTGCCCAGCTATGTGGTAGGCCCCAGGAATATGAAAAAAAAGAAATCCTAGTGCAGTTGAACCTTGAACAATTGGGGTTAGAGGACGTGGACCCCCCATGCAGTGAAAAATCCAGGTATAACTTTTGACGCCCCAGAACTTAACTACAAATGGTCTGCTGTTTACCGGAAGCCTCTCTGGTCACAAAGAGTGGATGGACACGTATTTGATATGTTAACATGTGTTGTATACTCTGTTCTTAAAACAATGAAGTAAGCTAGAGGAAAGAAGTGTCTTTAAAGAAAATCATAAGAGAAAATACATTTACAGTACCGAACAGTATTTATTGGGGAAAAAAAGTCTCCTTATGAGTGGACATGCACCGTTCAAACACATGTTGTTCAGGGTTCAGCTGTTGAACAGGTATTTGTTCAGAGCACAGAATATACTAAATCCTGGTTTCACCTGTGGGAATACAGAATAGAGACAGGAGGCAGAGCTCTGTACTGAAGGAACTCACAACGCTGGGGAAGGAGGACGCAAAGGCATAGTAATATAACCACTACAGTATTGTGAAAATACAAATAGAGATTCAGTCAGTCCTCCTCAGGCCTGTAAGGGAAAGTCACAGACAAGAGATGACTTTTTAAAAAATTAAACATATCATTGATATTCAATCTTATGAAAGTTTCACATGAACAACATTGTGGTTTCAACCTTCACCCATATTATCAAGTCCTCCCCACCCCACCCCATTGCAGTCACTGTCTATCACCATAGTAAGATGCTATAGAATTATTACTTGTCTTCTACAGAAGATGACTTTTGAGCTGGGTTTTGAGAGGAGGGGGAGGCACTTACAAGACAAACACCAAAGGGTATCTCTAGTAAGGGGAAAAGCAAGATGAATCTGTGAAGGAACACGGGGGGGCACATTGTAAAGGGTCTCATCAAACTGAAGGGTTGAAGCCACCAGAGGTTTTAACCTGTAGAGTAATTTGAAATTTCCTGTCACTAAGGAATGAAGGGATTGGATTGAAAGGGAGAAGGTTGAAGCCAGGGAGTCCAGTTAGGGGTCAATAGCAATAGTCTGGGTAGGAGAATTTAAGGTCCTGCAAAGAGGACATAATAGTTGGGATGCAAAGGTAAGGATAGCATTGAGAAACTTTTGTAGAGCAGCATTCACAAGACTTTAACAAATGAACATGAGGGTAAGAGAATACATTATGTAATGCATTATAAGTGGCTTAGCAACAATTAACCATTTTATGTGTCCAATAAGTGTGTGTGTGTGTGTGTGTGTGTGTGTGTGTGTGTGTGGGTGTGTGTTGGGGGGAGGTCTGGAAAACTTTCTGAGTTTTCCCTAGTAAGTTATTAAATAAGCTACATGGACAAGTGACAGAGGAGGGAAAAATTACTATGCATTATGGTGGTTAAAGAAGGCTTCACAGAGGAGGTAGAAATGGAATTAAGTCTTGGCAGAAAGAATAGTTAGGTAAAGAACAAGTGAGAAAAAGGAAAAATGGGACTCAACATAATGCATTGGGGAATGAGCAGCTTGGCTCGAGGAAGTTCTCAAAAAACAGTGGTTAGTAAGACAGTTTTAAGCCCAGGTAAGGGAAAGTCTTGAATATCAAACTAAGAATTTTCTGTTTTGTCCTATAGCTAATAAGGAGCTATTAAGAGTCTTTAGAGCCCTTTATAAGACACTGAGACTAAACTATTCACTTCTTTTCGCTTTTGAGTGTATAATGCTTTGGGTACACCTGCTTAGTATGATCAGTTGGGAATGAGTTTGTAGTCATGGTTAGCACAGAAGTAGGTTTTGAAAAAGTGAAGGAAGTGGATTGGTAGGAGAGGGAAGGGAAATACTGGTAATTTTGCTATGAATTACAAAAGTAAGTAGTTGTCTCAGTGCTTCCTTTTAATAGTGCCCTGGTCCCAGTCAGTTACTCATGATATGATTAGGTTCATGGCCTCGGGACCCTGACAATAAACTACACAAATAAGTCAGGTATAATTCTCCATATTTAGGAAATCATAAATGCCACAGTTGACACTGATATGGAAAATGAAATAACCCTGGGTATGTGTGGTGGTGGGGAAGAGGAGGGGAGGCATGTTAAATAGGTGTGCACATGACTCAGTGTAGCAGCTGGAGTAAGGAGAGGGAAAAGTAGAGTGCTCTGCAAAGGCAACTCATATAAACTATCCAGTCTTTTCTGTAACATTGTAAAGCCAGTGAGCCTGCAGTTTCTGAACTCTTTGCTATTGTGTACAGAGGTCATGTTCCTGCTTCAAGGACTTTGTACTGGCTTTCTCCCTCTAGAACTTTTCTTCAAGTTGTTCACATGGCTAGCTCCTTCACTTCCCTCAAATCTGCTCAAATGTCAACTTCCTAAGATCTACCCTGGCCATCCTTTAAAAATTTTTCCTCGCTGATACCTCCCTGCTTTCCATCTCCCTTCTCTCTGTTAATTTTTCTGCATAGCACTTTTCAACTTGTTAACACACTATATAATTTTCTTATTTTCTGTTTCCCATGAAACTGGGTTTGTTACTGTTTTTTTGTCTGTTTGGTTCATTACTATATCCCCATGTCTGGCATGTGGTAGGTGCTCAGTACATACATGTTCAGTGAATAAATGAATCAAGTCAGTGAGAGTGGGACTGTGCAGTAGCTGTCTTTCAAAATCCCATCGACCCTTTCTACACTCCCTCCTTGACCACATACAGTTCTTCACAGATATCTCATCCTATAGAGCTAATTGTTTCCCCCCTGCAAGGTTTTGTTGATGTTAATACTGTATCTTTTGATATAGATGTGTTAACACTTAAAGCAGATTTCAACTATTAAAGATTGCTATGAAAGGAAGATTTATTCCACAGTATGATTTTTTCCAAGCCCTATTCTCCTTTAAGGATTGCTTGAACGATTCTTTCAATGACTGCTCCCTGAACATATTTTCACCACACACTCTTCTGGGGGTAAGGGTTACTTACACAGGTGAACAAAATAGATGTGCTCCTTGCAACCCTAGTTGGGGAGACCAACATTAAATACTTAGATAAATAAATATATAACTGAAAATTGTGTTTATATCCAAGAATGAAAAGTTGAGCGCCTATAAAAGAATATGATGGGGGAGATCAGCTTTAGATTGGAGTTCATGGAAAACCTCTACAAACAAGTATATTTAAGCTGACATAAGACCTAAAGGATAAGTAAGATTTAGCTCTCAAGGAACTTAATACTTATGTGATGAGACAGACATTAAGTAATTATATAAATATAAAATCACAGATTCTTAGGTGTTAGGAAACATTTTAGGAAAAGAAAAGAGCATGTGCAAAAGGTTCTAGGGTGAGAAAGAACTTGAAATATATTTGAACTAAAATAATTCCATTCTGGAATCTGTCCTTTAGTAACAAAATCATCAGCACAGAAAGATGTTATATGTGCAGGGATGTAAGGATATTTACTGCAGCACTGTTTGTAGAAGCAAAAAATGAAAACTAAGGGGAAAAAACAACCTATGTGTCCATCATAAGAGGAATTGTTGGACAATTGATCTTATATGTAATATTATACAATAGTCAAAATGGGCTAGAACTATTTTTGTTAAAGTGGAGATACCATGAAATAATACGTGAGAAAACAATGTACATAAATATGTGATCCCATTTTTAAAAACTTAGACCACCACCGCCACAACTCCCATTTATGTATGTATGTATTTCAGTATATTTTAATGAGCAAAGAGAAAGATGTGGAGAAACATACCAGGTTTTTAGCATTGTTTTAAATCCAAAGGAGTGGAGAGTAAGAAAATAAGACTCTTAACAAAAGGAAAAAAATAATGGAAATAATGAATTTTTTAGCAAAAATGTAGAATATAAAATACTAGCTTTAGAATTACTAAATATATATAAAAATTGAACATGCATAGGGACAAGGACTTAAAGTTTAACATCAATACATAAATACCATTTTATCTAGATGATACTGCAGGAAACTTTCTTTTGGATTTCTGCTTTTTTTAGTGTTGTTTTTTCAATAATGTAACATTTAAAAACTCAGAGAAATTGTAATATTCAGGATCAAATCATTTCAGCAGAGATGTTTTTCTTCTTTTGTCAAACTTTCAATTCATGTACAAAGAAAAGCGAGTGCTTTTTGAAAGTCTTAAAGAGACAGGGACGCCACAGCTGGATGGAAGCGTCCTGGGATACATAGCCCAGCAACTGGGAATCCCAGGGAACTCTGGGCACCCTAACCCCCTGGGCAGCAGCGCGGTTTGGAGGCCCCTCACAGA